GGCAGTAACAATAAAATGACTTCAAATACGTACAGACTCATTATAATTCACAGCTCATCTCTGTCTTAGCAACTAGAAGACAGAATTTAATGCTGCAGTAACAAACTGTTTCATTTTTTATGTAATAACCACTATTATATTCTAAATGCCGAACTTTATTTTTGCCTAGGTTACCAGTGTGGAAGAGGACAAACAAATTTATCTTTTTTTCCTGCAAGATCAGCAGGTTCTTCTGAAATTTCCCTACTTATAATTGTCTCCCTTCCCCTCCACACACATACACACACACAACAGAATCACATACTTAGTAATATACTTCACTATTTAAAATAAATCAGTGTTTATGTTTAAAAATAGTGAGCTTTGTGAGATCTGCAGTGAATGGTATAACATCGTCATTTGCATTTGTTCTTGTTTTTCAAGTTTTTTTTTCTCTCTCTCTCTTCGCCAGTGTTACTGCAAAAACCTGGCTGATATCATCAAGATCAATAGAAAACAATTGTCCTTAACACAGAAGGTTGGATCTGTTTTAATGAATTTCTTTAGGAACTGCTATTGAGCTTGTTCCTTGCAGATAAATCAGATTAAACTTTTGGAAAAGCAAGATAAATAACTGCTGCCAGAGCTAGACAAACTGATGAGAAATCTGTGAACATTCCCCATTCGTGCTTTTCAGCCTTTATGCTCCCAAACCTATCAACACATGTCACAAAAGAAATATTGCAGTACTTTTTATGGGGAAAAGCCTAGAACAAATGGAACTTTTCAAAGAACTCTTAACTTTATTAATTAAACAATAATATATTGAAAGTCACTCAGATCAGCCATCTCCATTGCCACTCAATCAGATGTCTGGAAATTCTGATAGTTGCTCTCCCAATATTTCTTGAAGATAAATATTTCAGGTTGGGGATTGCTAGCTATTGTAAAGAAATCATGCTTGGATTTAAGAGCGCTACATCCTGCTGCCGAAGAAGCGCTTCTCTCTGCAAGCCCCTCCCAGAGATTGTTGAACAAAACCTGGCTATTGGCATGATCAGGGATCACAGAGCAACAGTTTTCTCTCCCTGCTTTCAAGTTTACTTCCCTTTAGACTACCACCAAAGGATTCATTGATGCAATATTTCCAAAAATTCTGATGCTGTTAGGGAAAAAACCAACAACAACAAGCTATTACTATAGGAATACATTAAACACGTATGGTAACTTGGTTTCTCTATTAAAGTAATTTTATTTGTCATATTAAATTTAAAAGTTGCATTAATTCAAATAAGGAAAAAATGTAATTGGATGGATGGTTTTGGCACAACATAGTAGGTCAAGAACAAATTGGCTATAATTTATACTAGTTATGGAAATTAACTAATATAGTTAAATAAACTTCAATCGATTGAATCCTATGTTCTTGTATTTCAATTTTTTGGCTGTCTTAAGTGGATTTCCAGAATTCACAGTGTCAGGGCGAATGCTGATACTGTCAGGAATAAATGATTCTATCTTCCAAAGTAAGCATATTCTTAGTCTTAATCTAATCTCTGCAGAAATAAATGGATTGTTCCCTACTTCATTGGTCCACCTAAGGCAGCAGGAAAATAAGATGAAATCGCCTTCTTATTTCTGCAAAGGCATACAAGAACCCAGAAGCAAAGGATTCTTCTGCCTCCTGAAAATAGCAGTGACACAGGGAAGGTTAAATCTCTGAGAGATTTTCCACAGCAATAATCAGCAACACAGTTTCTCTATACAGCTCCAGCTAGATTTCAAAAAAATTCACGGAGGGTCAGTCTTTTAAACGAAAAGGACAAACTGGCAAGGGATCAGGAGGGCTGTAGAGCTGCATAAATATCTATCCAAATACCAGATACATGGCACATTTTTATCTTGGCACTGGGAACCATCACTTTTTCCACCTTCCTCTCAATGATGCTGCTATCACTTCACAATAGGAAATCAGGAACAAAAATAGCTTGTTGGGACCTGCTTAGAATCTATGGATTCCTGCTGCCATTTCATTTCATTAAAGTAAAGATTTCTGGGATCCTCCTGCCAAATAGGAAGGAATCCAGGAACATCATGAATCCAGCACTGGGTTAGGTGATATTCAAAATTCCTGGGACAAAGGAAAAAGCTATGCATAAATCCTTCTTTAGGTTTCACACATACTACTCATATCAGCTGAAGCTTAAAGAGAAGGAAAACAACATCTACAGCAGGCCCCAAATTGGCCAGGAATTTCCTGGATCAAGAGTTTTCATGTTTGATTCCAGCAAATGTTCTTATTTGAAGAAAGAGACACTTTGAATTCCTCAGATAATTAAATATATTCATATTTGTGTTTTGTAGACAGTGGTCTGGACAGCATGGTTAGTAGCATGGGCATCTGCAGGAAGGAGAAAAGGGGGGGGGGGAATGATAATATGGATGGGATGACCCAATCATGAGACTGCCAGAACTTAAATATACTGTATAAGTTCTTAATTGCAGCATTTCCGTGATTAGGTCATCTCATGTGTCATTGCTTAATTAGCGTCAAACATTGACCTTTAACTATTGAACTACATTCAAGATTTTCCTTTTGACATGTAAAATCCTAAGCAACTGGGGACTTTAGATACCCAAGGGGCCTCCTTCCCCATTATATTTCATCTGTGACAGTCAGTGAGGGACCTTCTGCATGTGTGAAGAACCACAGGAGGCCACCTCATAATGACTTATGACAGCTTTTCTCTATTGTGTCATTTTCAGTCTAGAATAGTCTTTCCTTGGACATATGTGGGGCTCCTGCTGCTACATCATTTAGGCTTCTCTTGAACATCTTTCTTGTTCAGGCATTCTCTACCATTACAGCAAGATTAATAGTTTCGTCTTCGGCTTTTGTCTTCCTTTTCTCTTGTGCTTTATAGTATGTATGTCTGGTTCTTTGAACAGTTATGAACTAATGGATTCTGTTGTGTATTTTATATACTAATTATGAATACTAATATCAATATATCACTTATCAAATAATTCCCCTAATTCTGGCCAGCAAATAGATTTTTGCTTGATTTCCTCTCTTAAAGTATATGAGCCATTTTATTGTTAAAAAAAAAAAAAAACAGCAGCAGCAAATTGATCAAGGAATACAAATTAGACAACACTGAAAAATCTCCTTTGGAATATTTCTCCTCTGCAATATAACAATTTATATTCAAACAATTTAAATATCAGAATAGTAACAATAATTGTAGTATATAGCTTTATATTTCTTTTCAGCAATACATAATTAGAGTCAATATTCAAATGTCTACTAGTCCTCATTGAGCAAATGAGATTGGCTCTGAACATGCAATTGGTTCAGTTATTCAATCATTTATCTTTTCATTTTATCCTACTTTTGTTATTGTAGTAGAATATAATGTAGTAGTTTGCATCTCCTCTCAATCCTCCTCCATCCCCATTTTAAATATATTCTTACTGGGCAGGCATTTTTCAATCCTGACCACCTTTACCCAAGAATAAATTCCATTAAAGAGAATGGGCTATCTAAGCAAAATTACAATGGGCCATCTTCTAAATTTCCAAAACGTAGCCCACCTTGCCCTATTATTACATAAAAAGTTTGTTTCCCTTTGTTTTTATAGCGCTATAACTACTTGTAGATACTGGGGGGGAAAGACTCCATCCTTTTTCCTGTTCCTTTGCCACTCGTCTGAGAGCAAGACATTGTTGCTTATATTGATAATTGGAAGCTTGAGAAAATTGACTCTTTGCTCAATACAGCTTCACCCAGACTTGCCCTTATAATATCCATGTGGCTCCAGATCAGGTTTGGGAGCAACAAAGTGGGGGAATATATGTCCAATGGGCCCTTTTGACCAGAAGCCTGGAAAGGACTCTGCCCCTACATTCAGACTAAGACCAGTGGAACAGTAGTCCGTGATAAAATAGAAGGCAGCTTAATAAGTCTATATGCTTTGAAAGCCAGGTACACAATGGGTGATAGAGCTAAATAGCAAAAACACAGAAAGGTAATACAAGAAGTAAAACTTAATATTGAAATCTACTTGCTTTTTATTTGTTTGTTTGTTTTCCTGAAGATATAGCATGGTGCCTTGAACTTAGGATGGAGTTAAAGAATACACAATATACACGAACTGAAAGCATCCATGCAGTCTGAATGCCAAAACAGACATTATCTACTATAAATTTTAGTTTGCCTCAAAACAGAAAGCTACAACTAACTTTGATACTCTAGCAATCATATCCAGGTGACATGTCTTCAATAGACCAGAATAGTCCAGACCCCTTTAAAATAAATGGAACAAAAAAACTGCAAAATGCTTTTATTATAAAAATAATATTCCCTTTTCAGTCAATCATGCAAATGGTTGCAAAATGAACGAACTCTAGATGAATGTGTGTCCCCTGTGGATGCCCAGGAAAAAAAGTTCTGCAGCTTTTATGAATGAAAATTAAGAAAAAGGAGGTATGTATTGCTTCTCATGTAACTGGTATATTTATAAAACCAATATATAGCATTCAGTGACATGGATATGACATATTTCTGTTATAACCAGGTCAAAGCAAGTACGATTTTTTTCCTTCCTGGAAATTTTGCTTAACAGTATTCATTTATATCTATCACCTTAATATTTAGGGGAAAAAATACTGTACCCCATCATTTCTTTTTGGTGACTCAGAACATAAGCAAACAAAAAAAAGAGGAGTTTCATTCTATTCTATCTGGGTGGTTCTGATCAGTGATCCAGTAAAGCATGCTTTTTATTTCATCACAGTTGCAGGCACTGAAATAATTACATTTGTTATGATACCTGGAGTAGCTTTTCAGAATACAGTCATCACTAATGACTCTTAATGGCACTCTAGGACTATGCCAGAACATCCAAGAAAAGCATACAACTGCCCCACAGAAAGAATGAAAAATCAGGTGCAAAAGGTCACTTGCAAACGAAGTACTCATATCCCAGCATGAATGTGAACAGGTGAAAAGCATGACATACCTTACCGTTTGTCTGTGACCAAGTCAAACCCAAAGAGGATGTCACGTTAGAAAGAAAAAGCTGGAGAGCCTGCAAAAGAACACACCCCCAGTTAAAATCGTTACGTTGAAAAGGTCTTTCCATTTGTTCCACATCTGAACATGCATCTCATTTACTTAAACCAAACCCTCCCCCAAAATCCCCAACCGACAGCAAAACAACAGTTGATCCACAATGCCTGCAAAAATCTACCAAGCCCTTCCATACATAAAACAGACTCCATGTAATATAAATATGCATCTACTCTTTGCTTTACAAAGGGAGTCTGAACCGATGCCGTTTGCAGAGTCTTATAGCAGGAAGGGCTCCTGTAAAGCAGCATATTGCAGGTATTTCCAAAGGGATGCACACAAAGCTCATGGCGAAACAAAGAGGGTGAAAACATTACCAGCTTCTGTGCTTAAATGCCACAAAGGCATATCCTTAAATAACTGCAGCTTAATTATTCTCCCAATGCATGCATTTAATATCCGTGAGCTTGCGGTCTATTTCCAGACAGACACTGTCTGCCAGCCACCAGCTTGTAGCTTCCGTATATATGTCGAGGAAGAAGAAAACCGCCCATCAGATGAAGTCTCCACAGTGAGGAAATGGAGAAGAGGCCGCAGATACAAAGGGAGCTTGCTGGCCGCAGAAATTTCCAGAATGAAGGCAAGACTGCCAGTTCAGCCATCATTCATTTACAAAAGGAGACTGCACTCGCCTCAGTGAAAGAAGGTTCTTGAAAAGGCCCTGAGTGCCTGACAGGCATTTTAATTGCACCAAACCAAAACATGAGCTGAGTGATCAAGCCCCATATCTCAGAAAAGCCAGCAATTTGATTTCTTTTGCACATTAAATGAAAACTGCATACGCAGACAATGCAGCTTAAGAAATATAATTTCAGATGTCCAAATTTTAAATATATTTTAATTTAACACCTTCCCATTATTTTCCTTCTTTGATTCATAAAGAAATAACACCAATTATAACCAAAAATATATTGTATGACATCATGTATCACCAATGCTCTGATTTGAAAAAAAAACCCTCATACCTCTAGTAAAAGGTACACTAGATTACTATAATAAAGAGGAGCTCACTGTTATAGATACAAACACTCTAAATTAGTTAAAAGTGATCTACTGGGGATTGTAAACACTAGCTGAAATATCCTACGCAAATACATTTTAAAAAGCATATTGTTGCATGACAATTCAGAGTTAACATATATGAGCCATTCCACCAAATCACTGCAGATTAGGTACATATAAATGATTAAGAATGAGCAAATATTTTCATTGGTTAGGACAAATTTAGAGGGCAGCAGATAGTTCTCAAAGACTAGATACTCCTCTTTTTTTTTCAAAATCACAATCATCTATTTAGAATGTTTACTTACAAATAGATCTCACTGAAATTAACAGGATTAATTCCCAGGTAAGTTTATGCATAGGATTCCAACTGCAATTAACCTCCAAAATGTAGAAGATAGTCTGTCAAATTATTGGAAAATGGTTTGAAAAATATTTTCTCATAAGTCTCTTTTAGGCATACAGTATCTGGGCATGTCACATTTCAGAAAGTTCAGAAAATGTAATGGGGACAACAAAGTCTTTCTGAATGTCAGTTCCAATTTATTTAAAGCATCTTCTGAGGAAAAAAATGTGTACAACTGAACTACATGAATATTTTAGTGACTAACATAAGAAGCAGGGGGGTTGAAATAAATATTGTCTATTTTTTCCAAACACAGCATTTGGGGTTCTTGTTCCCTCCCTGTCCCATAGCTCACTTACATGAGGAAAAAGGCTTCTTGTGGGAAAAGGGGTTTATAAAGATAAAAGGGCAAAAAAGGCTTGGGGGAGATTTCCACTGGAACTGATGCTGAGGTAGAGAGGGTTAAATGAAATTCTTAGTACCACAGTCTTTATGGAATTCTTCCCCTTAGAGTCAGAAAAGGGTATTTTAGGCAATTGGTGGAACATCTTGGTGTACACAGGAATCCAAACTGAAACATCTCTAACAAATGGCAGCCCAACCTTTCCTTGACAAACCCAGGGAAGGGGAATTCTTAAACCTCTCAAGGTGCTTGCCTCCATTGCTGTCCTGCTCTTACTATTTTTTTTACCATTCAATCAATAGCTGCCTTTCTGCAAGTTAAATTTATTATTCCATGTCTTCTCTAGGAGAACACAGATCAGGCTTTTTTTTTTTTCCCTGTGACACATACTTTCAAATATTGGAAGGGTTCTCTCCTCTCTTCTTCATCACTTTTTATAAGACTTACTTTTCTAATCCCCTACTCACTCTCACTTGCATCCTCTAAACCTGTTCCAATTGCTCTTATCTTCTGACCATTACCAATAAAATAGCATTATTTCTTGTGATTTAGAATTTTTTTCAGACTTAATGCATTTGCATTTTTGTAGCCACATTACATTGTTGACTGCCATTCAATTTCTTATCGACTATTATTCAAAAATCTTTTTCCCAATTATTTTTACTAAGCTATGTATTCTCCCATCCTATACTATGCATTTAATTTCTTGGCACAGTTAAATTTAATTATATTATTTCATTTGTTTTTATTTATCTAAGAAGTAAAGATCTTTTTAAATTTCATATTTGTCTTTTAGGGTATTAATTATAATCCAAGGCTATTTTGATTCCTCTACCTACTTACCCCAGTTATTAACAAAATTGCTGAATAATACATGAATATTCCCTGGTATTGATATCTGATTGATTTTTCTATAAATTCCTGGATCCTCATTTGTTGTTGTATATATATAGACAACATTTATACTGTATTGTCTAACATTTATTGTTGTATTGTTGTTGGACTTTTTTGCTATTATAATTTTAGTTTATCATTTTTTTAAGAATTGCAACTCATCTTTGGTCATGTCAGTTCTGCCATTTTTAGCTTGGCACCTTGCTGGCATCCTGCCATCAAAAGCTAGAGGGAAGGGGAGCAAGTGGGACAAATGGGCAATAAACATGTATGGAGATGTGATGAGAAATAGGGAGGGGGGGATGACAGCTTGATGAAGACCAGGGAGAAACAGAACCAGTTTTTGCCAGTCTTCAAGGCCACACACCCTGAGAATGGAATGTGGATTGCCCCAAACATCTCAGCGATTCTCAAAACACCCATGCAGCTCTCCATTGGCTGACAACAAACTGGTCAAGTAGGGGGAGGGCTGGGATGAGGGGGAAATTGTAACCTTTCATGCAGGAATCTAGTCTAACTTTACTGCAACCAGCAACATTTAGTAAAAGAACTAAAGCAGAATATCAGCAAATAGCCCGAGCCTGCAAAGATCGAGTGAGGAAAGCTAAGGCTCAAAATGAACTAAGACTTGCAACAAAAGTAAAAAATAACAAAAAAGGCTTCTTTCAACATGTAAAAAACAAGAAAAAGTTAAGGAAATGATTGGCCCCACTGGTGGGAGAAAGTGGCACAAAGGTAACAAACAACAGGAAGAAAGCAGAACTATTCAACTCTTTTTTTGCATCTGTATTTACACAAAGAGCAAAAACAGTCCAACCTATCAAAAACAGTACTGTAAAAAACAGATTAGAAACACAAGTTAAGACAGGCAAGAAAATGGTAAGTGAGCACCTGTCCACCCTAGATGAGTTCAAATCACCAGGACTAGATGGACTATACCCAAGGTTCTGAAGGAACTAGCAGATGTGATCTCAGAACCACTGAACTATATCTTTCAAAGACCCTGGAGCACTGGGGAACTACCAGAGGACTGGAAAAGAGCTGAAGTAGTTCCCATCTTCAAAAAAGGGGGAAAAAATGGATCCAGGAAACTATAGACCTATCAGGCTGACCTCAATACCTGGGAAGATCTTGGAAAAGATAATCAAACAACTAATCAGTGAGGCAAACAAAGTCATTACCAAAAGCCAACATGGGTTTGTCAAAACAGATCATGCCAGACAAATCTTATTGCATTCTTTGACCAGGTGACAAAATTAGTGGACCAGAGGAATACTGTGGATATAATTTACTTGGACTTCAGTAAGGCAGTTAATAAAGTAGACCACAACATACTACTTGATAAGACAGAAAAACGCTATCTAACAAAATAAAATTCAACGGTGAAAAAAGTAAGGTTCTACATTTAGGCAAGAAAAACCAAATGCACAGGTTTAGTATAGGTGGTACCTTGCTCAATAGTAGCAACTGTCAGAGGGATCTTGGGTCCTAGTGGACAATCACTTAAATATGAGCCAGCAGTGTGCTGCAGCTTCCAAAATAGCCAACACAGTGCTAGGCTGCATTAACAGAAGGATAGAATCAAGATCACATGAAGTGTTAATACCACTTTACAATGCCTTGGTAAGGCCACACTTGGAATACTGCATCCAGTTTTGGTCACCACGATGTAAAAAAGATGTTGAGACTCTAGAAAGACTACTGAGAAGAGCAACAAAGATGATTAGGAGACTGGAGGCTAAAACATATAAGGAATGGTTGCTGGAATTGGGAATGTCTAGTCTAATGAAGAAAGGACAAGGGGTGACATGATAGCAGTGTTCCAATATCTCAGGGGCTGCCACAAAGAAGAGGGAGTCAAGCTATTTTCCAAAGTACCTGAAAGCAGGATAAGAAGCAAAGGATGGAAACTAACCAAAGAAAGAGGCAACCTAGAACAAAGGATAAATTTCCTGACAGTTAGAACAATTAATCAGTGAAACAACCTGCCTCCAGAAGCTGTGAATGTTCCAACACTGGAAGTTTTTAAGAAGAGACTGGACAGCCATTTGTCTGAAATGGTATAGCGTTTTCTGCCTGAGCAGGGGGTTGGACTAGATGACCTCCAAGGTCCCTTCTATTATTGTTGTTGTTGTTGTTATCCTATCACTTCACCCAAATGGAGTCAAGGGTCTTTCTTTCCTAAGGGATCTGACTGGAGCAACTCTGACAGGTCATCTTTGGTGCCTCTTGCTGGTAGCTTTTCCTGCCAGAGAGTCCTGTTTTATTAGTTTGAATTTATTGAAACTGGTTTTCTTGAAGTTCAAGTATTTGA